AGAGCACGAGCAAACACCGGGATCCGGAGCATATGATACCTGCTTTTATATCGAATACTTCACGACAGTATGCCGCCCATCCAAAAACAATTAGTTGCCGACCCTTTATTGGTCGGCGTAAACTCACTCGCTTCATCCATCCAACCTAACACACTTTTAGTCTCCGAGAAGCCCTCATGCATGTACACAAATGCCAAAGGTCTACTCAGCAAATTAGCTGAATTAAGACTTCAACACGCGTCTGCAGCTTTGGACCTCATTGCTGTCACCGAAACGGAGTTGCGCTGCGAGATAACGGATACTGAAATTAGGCTAACGGGCATGTCCATTGTCCGGAAGAATCGAAACAGCAAAGGTGGTGGGGTAGCCCTTTACTTTCGTAACAACATGCAATGCGGACGCATAAACGATTCGGAAACTGACGTACCTGATGCTATTTTGTGTAATTTCCGGCTGAGAGGGAACGATCTTGGCCTATTGGTTGTTGTTTACCGCCCACCATCGTCTACTCCTGAGATGGACTGCAATTTGATGGTTGCGTTGAGGCAAGTGATAAAGAGGAAGTACAGTTACATTCTAGTCACCGGTGACTTCAACTTACATTCGCTTGAATCCCGGGCCACACCAGGAGAGCAATACAAAGCGGGTTTGCAAGATCTGGTTTCAGACTTCCCGTTTTATGGACACGTCACTACGCCCAACAGGTTCAGGGTAACTGACAGGCCATCTATGTTGGACCGACTATTCACCAATGAAGAATTAATGGTTGAGAAAGTGATAACCGATACTCCTTTGCTCCGCAGTGATCATGCGACACTAGTGTTTCATTACATGTGCTACGCGGATTATCCTAAAGAGCAAATCGAGGAATATCGTGTCGTAACCAACTATGACGACCTGTCCGACCTGATTGATGCAACCAGCTGGTCGTTCTTACCTGAATTAACTCCCGAGGTAGACTGCGGAGAATTTGTCAACGTATTTACAGAGCTCATGGCAATGACATCTAAAACCAAACTCTGCCGGCCTATAAGGATGAAGTCTTTCGTGAGTATCAGGACATGTAATTGCATGGCATTAAGGGACTTGGCATGACACATCTACATAGCCTCCCCGAACGACGATACCTGGGATGTCTACACAATACAAAGAAACCACTGTGTCAAACTCCTCCGGGAGGAGAAAACGAAGAACCAACAAGGTCTAGTGGAAATTTTCGCTCCAATCAAAACTGCCATACAGACACGTAAACAATTTGCGCCGTGTTAAGCGCGGTATTCCTGCTAAGCACACAGCATGCGGGTTAGTCCAAATCGCACAAGAGGCGGCCACCCTCCTTGGACAACAATTTGGCCGTACCTTCCAAAGCGCGCAATCACCATACATCCTGCCTAAGCAGTTAACGCCGCCATCAGGGCTTAATCAAATATCGTTCACCTCCGTAGCTGCACTGAAAAGACTGATGTCTCTGCGCGATTTCAGCTCCCCGGGTGTGGACGGCATTTGCCCGAAGGCGTTGAAACTTGCTGCTATGAGTCTGGCAGAACCACTAGCAATTTTCTTTCAACAATGCCTGAACGCGATGCACGTTCCCACCATGTGGAAGCACGGAATCATCACGCCTATCTACAAAAGTGGCAGTCGTGCTGAAACAGCAAATTATCGCTCGATAACACTACTTCCTGAGATCTCCAAGGTTATGGAGTCCGTTGTAGCTGAGGCTTTGATGGGGTACCTGTGATACAACAAAATTCTCGTTCCGGAACAGCATGGATTTCGCCAAAATCGCTCCTGTACAACTAATCTCTTGAATACTCGTGCAAGCTGGACGGAATCTGTGGATGCTGGTGTAGGATTCGACGCGGCCTACTTGGATTTCTCAAAGGCATTCGACCGTCTAGACCATCGCATTCTCCTCCACAAACTCTAGAAATATGGAATCGGCGATCCTGTTCTGGGCTGGGTAGAAGACTTTCTCGTGCAACGTCACCTGAATGTGAAGATTAGGAGCAACCTATCGGAATCCATCGAAGTTCAGTGCGGCGTACCTCAAGGCTCCGTATTTGGACCACGCCTGTTCCTGTTTTTCATAAATGATCTCGCAAGCGTGCTGTCTTCTAACTGTTTCCTATTTGCTGATGACCTAAAGGTATGGCTTACTCTAACTGCAGTGAAAGATCACACAGTATGACAGGAGGACCTGGACAAAGCGTACACATGGTCCATCGAGAACATGCTGCATTTCAACGTCACCAAGTGCAAAATTCTCAGTATACAGCACAAGAGTTTGCACAACTACCGCCTAAGACCACAAATTCTACAGCGGGCTTCTCACGAGTGCGATCTTGGCGTGATAGTTCAAGATGACCTCGGTTGTTCGAGGCAGATTGAAAAGGCAGCTAAGAAAGCAAACCAGTACCTCGGCCGTCTTCGCAGAGCTTTCATGAAGTTTGACCCTTCAGTCTTTCAAAAAAAGTTTAGTGCGTAAGTGAGGTCGCAAACGGAATACCCTATTCAAGTATAGCAACCCTGGCTCAAGCACCATCTCAACGCGCTCGATACTGCACAACATAGGACAACAAAGAGCGTCAGAGGTTTGACCAGCCTCCCCTATCCACTCAGGCTGAAGACCCTCAAAATACACAGTGAACGCTATCGGCGTATAAGTGGCGATCTCATAATGATGTACCACATCTTGAGAAACCCCAACCACTCATGCCATTCCCTTCTAATACTCAGTCGAAACACCTCGCTAAGACGTCACTAGTTTAAGCTGGTCACGCAGTAGAGACGCCTGGAATGTAGGCGAAACTATTTGTCCCTTCGAGTGGCACAGCCTTGGAACGCCCTCCCGGAACATGTAATTAATGCACCCACCCTATCCCTTTTCAAAAAGGCATTGACGATACCCTGTCACATTTACACTACTTGCTTTAGCGCATAACCACCAGCTGCTGTCAATAATGAACAACAGACTGTGGATAGTGCCATGACCCTACTAGAGACTGAGTCAATCCAAACCCCTTGCACGAAATTTGATAAACGCTACTACTATAGAAACTTGATTTCTGTATCCTGTCGACCCAAGATAGTTGTACACGAGTAAGCGTTCTTTGCTGTCATTTTTAGGTTTTGCTCACCTTCTATGTGATCAATAACTACTCCCCTTATTGCTTTTTGTGCATACATTCTCAATTCAAACTCACTTTGTGCGACAGTGCAGTTAAAACTGTAATCGCCCGAACTGATGACTCCATTATCCCTTGCTCATTGTTCTTTTCACGCTAAGCACCCTACCGGACTTGTCAAGCACCTGCTTTTTTACGAGTTATAAATCATTATTCCTTCTTCAACTCTGCATTCTAATTCTGCGGCATCTAAGTGAAATATTTTGGTGGTGCGTGATGCAGACAAAATCAAGTTTCTGAGCTACAGTCTAAGCAACACTTTTATCCCCATGGAAACTGGCACATCATTCTGAAGATGTCGATTATTTGCTGATCGGACTATACAAAAGAAAACCGGAGGTGTTTTCACAATTATCTAGCAAAATATCGTCTAGTAAACACACTGGTTACCATTTCATCGTTGCTCTTTTTGACGCAACCATGTACGTTCATGTAGCATCCTCACAAATAAGTCGTTTTTGGTCAGCCACACACCAAATAGAATTGTATCAATGCACTCTCCACGTGTCTAAGATTGTGACACACAAGCTCAGTTGTAGCATCGGTCGATATGGAAGTCAGCCTCTGTCATTCCGATCAGTGAGAACGTACCGCGTATGTAGGGATTCTTTGTTGCTATCTCCGGCCCAACGATTAATATCTAACCGATGTGTCAAGCGTTGCGCGCGGAGCTCAATGCGCTAGTGATCATGGCGATTGCCGCCAACCACTATACACGAGTTCGACTGCCTGCTTGTGAGCACTCTACCTGTTGAGTCCAAACAAGAAGGAAACGCGCTGTGGAGTGCAGCGATAGGAGACAACAACACCGAAACCATGCACATCGGATAAGATCTCAGTGATCGGAATGGTTGATGCGGACTTCAACTTCAACGGACGCCATAAATGCGCTTCCGTGTCGCAATTCAATACACAAAAGGATAGTTTGAAAACTGTCAAATTATTTCGTCACTGCCTTTAGTTGTCACTGAGGCATTGATTATGAACCAGCGCAGTCAGTCAATTTACAAGTCTCAGTGTGTCCGTCTACGTAGTCAAGCTGATGTCGCGATATAGATGAAGGTCCAGGTACGCTAGTTCTCGTTCTTTCATTGCCCTTCTGTGTTCTCCTTCCATACACCTGGAGATCATTGGGCGTATGGACTACGTCTGGGCCCCTTGAATGCTGCACCTTGCGCAAATAATAATATCGCACTGAAGCTCAATAATAACAATTGCGATGTAGTTGGAGCTGAAAATAGTATGATGGGAGGAGATGTTCAGCCTTCTGGACTAGATGGGTGTCTTGCAGGATATCAGCTTTATATAGGTACACTGTGTGACAACCAGGTTTATACGTATTTGCAGGTTGCAATGTCCTGCAGTGCGGCTGTTAGCCGCTTCCCGACCTGAGTTGACGTCGATTGGTTGTGTTTAAGAATATTTGATCTGTTGTGTATATCAGTATATTGTTTGCTATTGTGCGTTTTCGATAAAAGTTTACCCTTGGGAAATGGATAAATTAAAAACTGCTTATGAATGCATTGGCCCTGCTGAAGTTACTTGGGTCCTTCATCAGATTCTGCGGGGAACGCAAAGATAACTGAAGCAATCGTCATGATAACTTAAGTGAGTTTACTGAGAGCATGTTTCGCAAGGATCTGCGTGAGTTATTATGTGCATTTAGAGCCAATGTAATGAAAGTCAGACTCGAGTTTCTATCTGCCGCTGACTTCATGGTGTTGTAATTATCACTGTTGGTAATATTTTATGATCAGATGAAATTGGTTAGCAGAACGAATAGTGTGTTTCGTTCCCCCCACTTGTCTTCAGCTCACTCTGATCATTACACAAAACCGACTAAGAAGACCACAAGACAAGCCACTCACGAGTCTTCACAATATACCTGTTCCTCAGGTGAGCACTTTTGATAATGAATGACGGAGCACAATTTCTAACTTCAGCAGCAGTGTGTTTCACCGAGAATTCTCATTGCTCCTAATCCCTGAGCACACTGAACAACGGTGTATATACCTCCTGGTATTATAGTGTGATGTTTGGTGCTTAATATTTTCACTTCATGATTGCTCTGATTGACGAGTTGGTTGCAGAGCCGTCGCAAATAAGCGGCAACCATTAGTGCGACTTAGATGCAACGTTATCCTGTCTGATCATTATGATGGTTCGTTACGCACGTCCATCACAATCAAATGTACCCATGCAACTGCCGCCATAGTTTGGAAAAAGTACATGGTATTTTTTCGCCATTGAGATTCTGAAAGAGTGGACAATCGCCTCAATCCTACAGGTGTTGATGATTTAATGTCGTGACCGTTAGGTCCTCAACCTAGGCCACGGAAATTCGAAGGACGTAACCGTCAATCGTATGTACTGTACCGTGATTCAGCTTCGGCCGGTTTTCGAAATGCGATTAAAAACTTTGTGCCCCCCCACACACACATCGTTTGTCGCTGGGCTCGCTTTTCGCTTGTTCTGGAACTACTTTTGCTTGGAAAATACTTGGGGCTGTCAGATAAATATAATTTAATTAGGATATTTCCCAAAGCATTTTAGCTCTCAATTCCTTATCCCAGTTGTTGATAATCCGAGAGAAATCGAAGTGGGAGTTGTCACATAAGGCGAAACATTAATTGGGTTCATGTTATGTTTTGGTTGGTAATTATAGCTACTAAACAATGGGCAGTAAGCTTGAAATTTAGTTTCCAATATCCTGTTTTCATCAACTCATCAGTGGTGGTTTGCTTTTGGTCTATTGTTTGGAAATCTCTGTATGAAACTTTATTCGCGGGTGATATGACGGAATTTCTCTAGCTACCCTCTATGCATGTCCATCGATTGCATTTCAAATATTGTCGCTGTTACTATGATCACTACGTTAAGGGCTGATACGAGGTGCATCATATCATTGTACTACACTTCGGCCGTTCGTCATAGATATTTGTACGCTACGAGAATTGTTTTGTTTGAGGTTAACGATCCTACATGCGAAATGTTTTGCCAGTAACTACTCAATACAGTATGTTAGAGCTTCATTTCTTGTTATCAAATGGCACATGTTTTTGATTATATGCATCCACATGTTAACCACATGCATGACCATCGCTTAATGTTACAGGAAAACTCTATGTCAGCGCGATTGGATTGAGCCTGATGATCTTGCATTCAGCAACTTCGATGTTTAAATGGCTATTCAATGAATAGAATTCCAACGCACTCATGTGCGCCAAATGCTGACGTTGACTGGCGAGAATATATTTGGAAACCAGCAATACTCGCACTTCCTTTTAGATATGTTCGGGACTGTTTGACTTGTGCACTACAACACATTTCCCACGATACTGGGAGCTTTGATTCGTCTACATCCACATACACGTTTATCCCATTTTATTCATTCTCACGAATGTTAAGGCTGTTTTATGAAAGGGCCTTCACTTGTCAACTATACTGTCTCACACACACACTTTCTACACAAAAGGTTAGGTAACATCACACGTCGCCGATAATTTGATGCGTATAGCTAGTAGGTAACGATAGTGTGTGAACAAATGAACTTCTAGGGCTCCGCTTCATACAGGTTTTGAGTGGAAGAAATCGAGTTTGTTGGAAGCAAGATGACATGAACTCGAATTTGTTGCGGCACAATAAAACACACTGCAGCCACATGGAATATATGTTAAATCAGGTGAAAGGCAGTGTTGTCAGAGGACTCGAGCTGGCATTTCAACGTCTTGCACCTGAAAATTCACCGAAGTGCGATGGAGACTCTTTGTATCGGTATGGAAACACCCGCCCCATGATGGTTTTCAACCGGTCTAACATAATGCTGCGACATGTGATATTTTGACATCAAAGGAGAATATTTTTTGTCAAAGGACGCTCTCTTATGACACGGACAGATACTCTGTAGTAGGTAGATGGATATATGATCAAAAGCTTAACTAGGGCCACAAGTCCACAAGACCACTATTAGCACTATACTGAAGTGCACCCATAACCGGTACCTTCGCCTAAGTAGCGAATCGTCTTGCCATTTCCTAATAACATACCACAAAGCCTTCAGGAAGAGACAAATCCATGGGTAAAAGAGGATTTTGAATTGGAAGCTAAACATAACAATTATAGTAATTGGTCTGATGCCACCTAATCTCTATTGGTGACTTCGAAAATCTGGGTTAGAAGCGAGAAATTAACCTAGCATAACAATTGATCACTGGATGTTAAGTCTTTTCAAATGACCCGCAGCGCCCAAGACAATCTAGCTAAACCGTTCGGGTAAAGTGGATCTTTAAAAGAATGCCAGTTTGTCCTAGACTATCTGTGGAGTGTTAAGGACCTGCTTAGACAGTTGTGTGGTTCCTTGAAGTCATGCTATGCGGTTCGGTAGTTTGGCTAGTCACTGCGTCCTTCCAGTTTACTCAAATACTGAGAAACAAGATTTAGTATTCATGGTTTAATGTGTTTTCCTAATCCAGAATTTAAAGCACAAACACGGCATTGCCAAATTAGAGGGTAAGACTAGTAGCACTACCCGTGTGCATTATTGTTGCTATCTGGTATGTTAATGAAATGCCCGAAATGTTGTTGCTAAGCTCAGCTACCGCCTTAAGAGCTGAATGCACCTCCTTGTTCCGATCGCAATTATTCTTTCCTCCGAAGTGTCGCACTGCGAGCTGGCTTCTTTGTTTCATGTTTCACATGAAGCAGTTGATTACCTACTTTCTCTCTGCTTGACCCTTTCCAGTGAATCCGATATCGTGTTTTGGTTTGTTCTTAGCACGATTTCGCTATTTCGGATTCCATATTACCTCCTAAATCCACACATTTTACGTCCCTCACAGTGGTTGTGGATCGGAGAAAAATACACATTTCAACAGCGTTTCAGTTACAAGACTGTGTTTAAGAATTCGCCTTCTCATGAGTAAGGTTAATTCGATCCCATGTTACTAATGTTAAGTTGGGAATACACATCCGTTCATTATAACTGTGCGGAATTCATTCGCGTGCATTCGCTTGATACCAATGATGTTTCACGAAGCAACCACACCGAGCCTGCCACGCCATACTGTACCGCATCATATTTGTCTTGATTACGCGCATATACCGAAGGCAGGTGAGTTACGATAACTCCCACATGATTGTTAAATCCGTGGTTGGTGGTAATAGATTAGTACCGAGCTGCGCGGTCGCGCAAAAGAGAATTAGGTAGAAGAACGATGTATGAGCAGAGCACAGACAAGGAATGCAGCAATGGACCAGTTGTCACATCTTCTTGACGCAATAATCTCGTCACGTTGGTCAGTTGAAGGAACTTAAATGCATTAGGCGTGAGCGAAATGCTGTAAGAGAACACCGATATTTTCGCATGCAACAGAACCACTTGGGAGCTGCAAAACCAACGGTGTGCCAGTAACTGATTAACATGAGCAAACTCTACGGACTATTAGACGGTCTCAATTTACTCGTCATTCACAGCTGTAGAGTTGCTTTGAGTGTGCCTTTTCATAGCCACTACTCACCGTAAAGCGCGTTTGATTTATTTGCTTGCCTAAACACACTACGCATGGTGATCTAATTACTTACGAGCAAAACTAGTAAGCAAACATGCAACGTAGTGCTCTGGGTCCGTAGATGTCAAGTCCATTAGGTAGACTAGTATTAGTGACAGTTTTAGCAATGGATACACTAATTAAACGTGTAGGCAGATGTGTTCATAAGCAGCACAAATCACTATGTGCAAGTGTGCTCAAGAACTTACATAACTAATGCTTGAAAGAACACGTAGACCCTGCAAAGCATGAGATTCGATAGACCATGGTTCGCTGAAGGGTTTCTAGCTCATGGCTCATACTTGGCTTAAGAATGTTTACCTGAATGAGGGATGGTGTACGGGTGAACACGTGTCCACACAGTCATAGCATTCATGCCAAAGTCAGCGATGGTTATATCAAAATACGTTTTTGATCGCTTAGAAGAGCCGACTAAGGTCGATACGTTTGAGATTCAGTACTTTCCTATGGCGCTGAACAACGGCTGTGGTTCGGCGTTGGAAACATTCGTGAATATAACTCAGCGGAAACAGCTCCAACCAAATTAGTTTGGAGTCCGCGACAGATGCATGCATATATTTCTAATATCAAATCATGAATATTTCGAACTTCAGAACTATGAATTCCCAACATGTGCCTGATGCGTCATTGATGGATGGGAGTGGGAAATAATCTCGCAATTATGTATCATCGGCCATTAGCATGTAGCACTTGAAGTGGTGTGCCTCAATGTTTAGGAAAATAGGCTTTGCTAGTATTATTATTATTATCATCACAACGCTTTCTCAGAACTAAAAGCGATAAACGCTACCATCACGCTACAGATGTCATTTAACGTATTACTGGTTGATTCGTGAGATGCAAGCAACACTCAAGTAGCGACATGCTTGTACAAACTCATGTGATTCTATTTTAATATACTGGAAGCTAACAGAGAATTATCAACTCAACTGGGCCTCCTGCTTCATAGGAATGGGTAACATGAAGTTAATAAAAATATCAAATCGGAATGTAGCAGCATGTCGGCCTTCATTCAAGCACAAGGTCGGACAGCGGCAAATTAAAGAGAACGATTTGTCGGCGTAACCCTGGGCTTATGTTACTTTTGGCTCACACCTCACATTATGTTCTTGCAAGTGGGGTAATGTGAAGCCCCGTTAACCTGTGGTGACTAGAAGACACCAGGCCTACCTCTGGAGATACAGTGGATAACACCACGCGGCAGAATGGATTAGAATAAGTGACACTCCAAGTTTACCTCTCCAAATGACCGTTTCTTTTGACCACCGCGGCAGGTGCATGTAGCGAGTTTTTCGGCAAGCACAGCCAATGCCTACTCTTGAAATGACCAACTAGCGGTTGCCTTCACTTTGCATTAGCCAAGGGAATTGAACCGCATACAGTAGCTGATCAACATTTGCCACTTGGATCCCGTCCTCCTAGTTCGATGACAAATTATTATTTATAATACACTTTGGCAGTTCGACTGTGGGTGTTCAACTTGTTAAGTGACCCGGACACGATCAAAAGGTCACGTTGGCGGCGGGTGGAAAACAAGCGTTTATTCGGTATAGTGCAGCCTATTTAAAGGAAATAAACACTGTTAATCATCGAGCCTTCTCAGTTGGTCTCCTGTTTTTCGGCTCACCTCATTGGTTGCGTTCCCCCTTTATTTCATTGGGTTACGTTATTCCTCTTCGGCCGCTGTCTTCCTGTCTCGCGCAATGATCACGTCTTTCGTGCTTGGCATCTGATTGACCGTATTTCTTTGGACCACTCATATTTGGCTTTGCACTCTGAAACTTGCCGTTAATAGCGATTCTCCAGTTGCCAGTGCGCCCTCTATGTTCTATTGTCCAATCCGGTTTGTCGGTTTCTGGATACGTGTGCCACTCGTCATTCGCTATCCAGCCATCGCTGTGTCTCCCGGTGGGTTCACCCGTTCTCTCGATCGAACTGATGCGCTGACTATGGTAACCTGCGCTTAGTGGTTAGGTCGAACATATTGGACTGGTTTTATAAACCCCGTTATATCCTTTTCCTTTTGTTTTTTTAGGATTGCATCTCAGTATATCCCATACTGCTTTCCGCTGCGTGTGAGTTTCCTTCCTTCTGCAGGGGTGACGCGTATCTGTCTTGGCTGCTGTTGTCGGATTTCCATCTGGGTAAAACGCGTACAACCTGCTTTCCGGACCGGTACTCGGTTCCCCTTAATTGTAGTGCCCCAACCTTCACTTCGTAGCTTCTCTCTCCCTTGCGGCTCTGAATAACTCCCTTCCTCCAGTGTCCCTCTTATCCTGGTACTGGTTGCACCCACACTTCTTCTCCCACTGCTAGAGGTTGGAGTTTTCTTGCCCCGCGATCGTAGTATTTCTTTGGCTAAGCATTCTGTTGCGTAACCGCTCAACTATCGAGGTCGCTGGTGATACTTCAGGTGTTAGCAGATTTGACGCAGTTGGTATCAACGTTCTTGTCCTCCGGCTGAAGAGTCGCTGCACCGGACTTGCCCTAATTTCTGTTGATGGCGTGTTTCTGCGTTCCAGCAACATAATATAAGGGTCCTCCTGAGTCTCCTTAGTTTTGGTAAGCACCTTCTTTGCTTCTTTTACCGCCGACTTGGCCTTTCCATTTGATTGGCTGTGATATGGGCTAGTA